TGTTACTTTACCTCTTTTAAGGCTGAAACAAAAACAACGTTGGTTAGTGCAGCCACGTAGCCCTAAACAGAGTCAGCAGTTTGTAAGGGAAACATCCTGCTGGGTGTTGCATGTGATACGGATCCATCGTGTCAATGGGTCTGAAATACGGAGATCCAGCAACCTCTCTCTTTAACCTGAGCACACACAACGCACAGAATAACCCAAGCATCCTCAATAACAAAATAATGGCCGCCTCAACCACCACAACCACAACCATCCTGCAACCAGACCTGCAACAGGTCTTGGGGCACGTCTTACCTACGTTACCCGCCGCTGCAGCATCTGCGGAACCGGCAGAAAATATCTTACCTCTTCTTTCTCCCATTCTTAGGCAACGTGTCCAGCTTTTATCATCATCATCCAACACAGATCCCTGGATTCGGTTATTATGTTATGATGTAGGAAAGGTTCCCAAGTTGACAGAAGCCGCCAAGAGCGATCGACTAGAACCTCACCCCGTGTCTGGCGAAGTAGAGGTCGACTGGGATTATGACGCCGAGACTCGCTACAAGCGAGTGGACGAGGAGACTCTCCAGGCACTCGTAGCGCTCAGAGACTTTAATCTAGCATTTCGCTTAGTGTATTGTATCGGTGACCCTGTAGGCAACGGTTGGAAAGTCGGCGAAGTTAGCGTCACTGAGCAGCCATCGCCATTCTCTTCGTTCGGGGGCGTTTCGAGTCTTGATGAGGCTGAAAGGCAATTCAAGGAGTCAAAATCAAAGACTACGCAGAGCAACGGCCTATCAAGTTCCCGAGATGCTCTTGGCGTAGATGATGAAGACGACGACGACGATTACTGGGCGCGGTACGATGCGACACCCGCAAGGACTCCTGCTATTAAGAGGTCCCCTGCCCCGCAAGCCACGCGGGGCGTAGGTGCCACGGAAGAGGAGGATTATTATGCTCAGTACGACGACGTTCAGCCAGCCATGGACAACCACGACCCGGACGAGGAAGCAAACCTCCAAGACATCGCCCCGCCGCTAGGTTTAGGTGCAAGGCCAAGCAACCACGTTGTGGTGACTGGGAGCGACGAGGAAGAAGTGGAACTTAACGAAACTCACGGTGCATGGACACTTGCCAATCCACCTAGATCGCCTTCTACTCACTCGAGGAGAAGTGGCGACGATCCGAACTTGGTTCATCCTCATCCGAGACCAGCGTCGAGCGCGGGGTCCAATGCATCCGTCGAAAAACTTGAGGCTGCGGCAGCGAAACAAGAGCAAAACGACTTTGGCGTGAAGCAGCACGTATCTCGGAGCATTAAGAGCCTGTTCATGTTGTCCCGCGCATCTGGAATCGATCGCGAGGAATTTGAACGGCTTGTCCGGGTTGAACTCGATACCTTAGGACTGATGGAGGAATGAAATTGAGCCTTGAGACGTTTTTTTAAGGTTAGGAAGGGGAAAGCTTGGTTCCATGGTATTTGAACGGGCGTTATTATGGAGGGATCTCAATTTGGCGGGTAACAGGGGATTTATTGACTACGAAGCTTGGTCCTGGGAAAGTTGTTGGGGTGCTCCGGCAGTTTGGTTGCGGCGACTCGGCGTAACTATTCCAGGCATTTTCTCGCATTGGTGCATCCTATGGCGTCCTATTGGGCATATATCACGATCGGTCAGAGTAATGAGCAGGGTTCATGTTCACAAATGTTAAATCAAGAGCAGAATAAATAAACTCCTTTACACCAAGTGTCTGTATCTCTTAAGGCTGTCATCAACGAATCTGTTCATGTGTCCTGTAGACTTACCGTCGTATTCTGAAATGAAGCGACGACCCGATTAGGAAGCCGGTATCTCCGGCGGGAGAACTGCCCCACGTTCCTGCCCAAGGTGAGTCAATGCCCCTCTATAACCCCTCTGACTCAAAAATACAGTCCCTGAAAACGAAAAAAAAAAAGTCAGGATAATCTACATTACTTCCTTTCGCAACTCGCACATCCCTGCACCACCCGATCACTAAAGATGTCGCCCGAGGAGTCAATTGCCTTGATCAAGGCCAATTTGGCCGAGGTCCTCAACCCCGAGATCATCGACGACATCATCCTCAAGGAGAAGCGAGACCTCAAGGTCTACTGGGGAACGGCCACGACAGGAAAACCACATTGCGGCTACTTCGTCTCCATGGTCAAGATCGCAGAACTTCTCGCGGCCGGCTGCCATATCAAGATCCTCCTCGCCGACCTGCATGCCTACCTCGACAACATGAAGGCACCGCTCGAACTGATCGAGCAACGAGTCAAGTACTACGAATTCATCGTCAAGAGTTTGCTGAAGGCGGTTGGCGTGGATATCACGAAGCTCGAGTTCATCCAGGGAAGCACTTACCAATGCAGCCAGAGCTACACAATGGACCGGTTCAAGCTGGAGGGAATCACCAGAATATCGGCTGCGCAGAAGGCGGGTGCCGAAGTTGTCAAGCAAACGGCCGATCCGTTCCTGGGTGGCATCATCTACCCTCTGATGCAAGCGCTAGACGAACAGTACCTCGACGTGGATGCGCAGCTCGGCGGTCTTGACCAGCGCAAGATCTTCACCTTCGCCCTAGAAAACCTACCGAGAATTGGCTACAAGGTCAGGGCGCACCTGATGCACTCGATGGTGCCTGGATTAGGAGAAGCGCAGAAGATGAGCTCCAGCGAACCGGATTCCAAGATCGACTTACTAGACTCCGCCGATGTGGTGGCTAAGAAGTTAAAGAAGGCGGTGTGCGTGCCGAAGAAGATCGAGGGCAACGGCGTGGTGGCGTTCGTGGAGCACGTCATCTTCCGCGTGGCATCCCTGAAGACTGGAGGCAAGCCTCAATTCACGGTCGAGAGACGAGACGAAGAGCCCCTCATCTACGACGACATCGAGAAGCTAAAGGCGGATTACGAGGCGGACATAGTAAGTGGTTCTCATGCATCTTAATTATCTACAAGTGACTGACATATATCTAGCTCACTCCCCAGCTCCTAAAGGCTGGTCTGACCAAGGCGTTGAACGAATTACTAGACCCCATCCGAAGCGACTTCGCAGCATCGGAGGAATGGCAGAAGATCACGGCGGTGGCCTACCCGGCGGAGGAGAAGCAGCAGAAGCCGAAGAAGCAGAAAAAGGAGGTGGACCCGGCTAAGCGTGCGGCCGCGCTCGCCGCCAGGGCAGAGCAGTTGAAATTGCAAGAGGGCGGAAGCGAGGAGGCAAAGTAAAATCAAGTGGAAGATGGATAGATACCCAGCAGCTCCGGTTGTTTTTTATGCTGACACGAAACGGTGTTGTGCATTTTTCTGGAGTCGGTAGGAAAATACCATAGATTCCTCTGAACAAGCTACGAACCTTTCGTAGAATTGACTGGGCTTTCAAGTCAAAGACGAAGAAGACACTCATGCTGAATGCGAATACATTACCCCTGCCTCTGAACTAAGTTGAATACCACACAAGGGGTATCTCTAATAATAAAATAAGGTTTAGGACGGTCCACTACGAAGTACGGCGAATTCAATGATCCCTTACCGAGCCTGTTCAGCCAATCAAAACGCAGCGCTCTCTTGTTTAGAGTTGCTAGGTACATAGTACATGTACACCAGAAAAAAAGTGAGCTCTGAATATTGAATTCGCACCTCGAGCTCGCAACATCCCATCACACAATGACGATGTTGCGACCCAGATTACGGATACCACGGGCGAGCCGGTTATGGCGACCGGCTCTGTCGTCCCGCCCATTACATACTGTTCCACCTCTAAAGCAATTCAGCCCGGAAGAAGGAGTACCTGGGCTGCTGTCTCCTCCCGGCTTCGATATGGCATGGACCCAGTATATGCAATTCACCCTCGAGAAGCTCAATCAGCAAACCGCCGGCACCGAATTTGCCGACCAAGAACCCTTAACCATCCTCAAAGCCACCGCGCGCGAGCCTCAACTTGCCGCTGTCTTTAACTACGCTTCCATGGCACACAACAATGCTTTCTTCTTCGAAGGCCTCGCCAACACAAAAAACGAGGAACAGGCGGAAGAAGGTAAGCTGTCTTACCTAAAAACCTTACCTAGAAAAGGGAACAAGTGCGACGAGCCTCTGCGCTAACAAGCCATCCCCCAAAAGCGAACGCCGACGAGGACCGGATCCCTCCCCGGCTCAAGATCGAGTTAGCCAAGCATTTCAGCTCCATCGAGACGCTGCGGCGCGAGTTCCTCATCACGGCCACGGGCATGTTCGGGCCGGGCTTCGTGTGGCTGGTCAAGAACGCGCACTCGACCGAGCTCCGCATCCTGGCCACGTACCTGGCGGGGACGCCGTACACGGCGGGCCACTGGCGGCGCCAGGGCGTGGACATGAACACGCAGGGCGTCGGCGCCCCCGAGGTGGCGCGCGAGTGGATCGACCGCGTGCAGGCCGGCGCCGGCGCCACCCACGCCGGCCGCTTCGTCGCCCAGAACCAGACCGCCCCCGGCGGCACCGACGTCGTCCCCATCCTGTGCCTCAACACCTGGGAGCACGTCTGGCTGCGCGACTACGGCGTCGGCGCCGGCGGCCACGGCGGCAAGCGCCAGTACGTCCAGGACTGGTGGCGCTGCATCGACTGGAACCGCGCCGAGGCCCTGGCCAATCTCATCCGGCCCGACGTCAAGAGGAAATGATCGCGGTCTGAGGAGGATAGGCGGACGGAGGGAACCTCTTCGCCGAGCGGCTACATGAGTGGGTGGGTGCCATCCATTGCCAGGCGTGTAAGATAGATGCTTACTCGGAATCCCCTTGTAGATACCTAGGGAGGGCCATCGCGTGCTCTACACCGTACCAAAAATAAATGTAACATGTACAAAATCAAGTGACCGGCCGTGTGCTCGTGCTATGGGTTAGGTTTTCCCGTTTCGACTTCTAGTAGGACGGGAAGTTATGCTCAAGACGTTCAGGTGCAGAGAAAGGGGGAAGAGGAGTAAATTGAGGCAAGTATTAAAAAAGGGGCAGACGATTTGGAAAATACTAGCTTCACTCCGTTTCGACCGGAGGACCTCCGGGTTACAAGCCCGGCGCGCTTCCACTGCGCCATGAAGCTCTTCGCAGGCTGGATTGTCTACCTAATTGTGTCGGAATCGGTGGTAGTATATGGTGTTATAGTCATTAGTTGTTTGGGATATTCAAACATACCTGGCCGGTTGGACATAACAACATAGAAGGCCCGTGGAGGGAGGGGCGTCATATACAAACTGGAGAAACCGGACTTTCAAAAGAAAAAGGGTGAGGTATTCAGCTTCACTCCGATTCGAACGGAGGGTGTCCGGGTTGCAAACCTGGCGCGTTGCCACTACGCTATGAAGCTCTCTTTGGATGCATCCATTCTCTACATGTAGGAAACTTGACTATACATGACGTTAAAGGTCATCGTTCGTCACGAATGGTCAAACATACCGAGCTGGCAAGAGCTCAACCCACGAAGAAATTGGATTCACATCATATACGACAAGAAAAATGAGTTCGAAAAGAGAAGTAATAGTCAGCTTCATCCCGACTCGAACGGGAGGATGTTCAGGCCATAAGCTTGATGTGCTGCCACTGCGCCATGTAGCTCTCCGTTTATCACACAGCTATCTCGGTGCATAGAAATCGACGGTGGTGTATGGCCTTATATGTCACTGTTTGTTAGGGACGTCCAAACATACCGGCTGGTATGAGTGTTACAATCGTAAAGGAAGTGGCATCATGCAATACAGCAAGAAAAACGAAGCCTAAAAGAGAAAAATAGATCCAGCTTCACTCCGATTCGAACGGAGGATGTCCAGGTTACAAACCTAGAACGTTGCCACTACGATATGAAGCTCCTATCGCGCCTGAGGATTGTATGGTGCTATCAGTTATTGTTTTTATTTTACTTTATATTATAATATCAAGAAACTACGCCACGTTCCTTATTCTAAATAAAAACTGTTTGAAATGCTTAGAAGACGTTGTTCTGAAGGTCGCCGAAGCCCTCTTCAAATACCCTCTACGATACAGTGCGTCGCATTTCCCCTTTGGCGTAGCCGCCACCAGCTCTATCAACCACCTAGAGGGGAGCCTCTATGAGTACACGGCCCGATATCCTGCCCAGGACCTAGTTGGCCGTTGCTTTGCGGGGACTTGTCTAGGAACCTAAACCCTGCGTGAAGCCAATGAGTCCCAAGACAGCAAACACTGCAGAGCTCAGAAGGCGAAAAATGCCCGTCGACGGACGCCCCTCATTCCACAGAATACAACCGTCCGCGAGCCCTAGGTAGCCGCCACTAACGACCAAGAATGTGTCGAGCACATCGAAGCAGCGTTGGGCGTAGAATATAAACATGAGAATACCCAGGGACGCAGTGCGGGCATTGCCCGCGTGTCAGATGGGCCACGTCTCGGGCACATCAGTAATACGCGCCGGCAGGCCGTAATGCAGCAGGACGCTGCGGGTGCGGCCGCTAAGAAGGGGTCATATGATGCCCCAGCACTGGGCGGCGGCTGTGAAGAGAGCGGGCAGATGGCGGTATCGAAAGCCCTCAAACATGACGGGATGGATTGAAGTGGATTAATAGCGGCGCTTAGGCATGTCAAGATCAACGGTTTGGTGGCGGGTTTGGCTATGATGGGTGTGCTTGCCAAGGTTATATGAAAGAAGCTAGAAGAAGTGTAGGCTGGTGTAGGTTGATGTATATTCGTTGTTTGTGATGTCCCTTACATGATAGGCAAACATGTGGTGCAGATATTGCCTCGCCCCCGATATGCATGTCACTGTTCACTACGACTACCAGTTCTTGGATTCTTGACTCGATTCGCAGATGATTAAGCCTCCTCTGAAGGTGTGGTCTAAGGTTTCTCCATGTAGCCCACTGCCTCCTTAGTCGACACTACATAAGCCGAAACCGGAAGAACAACGTCAAGTAGATTTCGATGCACCTGCTGATTGGGGTCCCAGACTGCATCCTCCACAACTGTAACGACGAAGTCCTCGTCAATCCCTTGTAAGGCTGTACCTATGATAGCACCACTGGTGGCAATACCACCGAGGATAAGAGACGTGACGCCCAATTTGTTCCGCAAGAGTGGCAAAAGGTCTTTGTTCACAAAGGCAGACCTGGGTCCAGGGAGTCTCAAAGAGACGATTTCGTGCCCGTCGGTTGAATTGCCAGTTGGAGCAAACTCGGAATATTCCTCTGCTAGTTCAGGCGTGGCCTCTAGGGCAGGTTTATGTATCGTGAACCACTGGTCGTAAATCTTGCTCGTGGGGGGAGGGTCGATCTTGGTATCGATGAGGCAGTGGATGACGGCGACTTTATTCTTGCGCGCTGTGGCAAGAAGTTTCTTGGCGGATTCAATGAGCTTTGTTCTTTCTTCCTGATCCGTGATCATGTTTACGAGCACATTCTGGTAGTCGAGGAAGAGGAGCGCCGTTTGGGACGGCCCGTAGTATTCCGGCTGGTTTGGATTGGCGTCGTGTTTCATCATATTTCTTGAAGTCTGCTACCTTGATAGAAGTGGTGACAATGGTAGAGCTAGGGTGTCAGATAGAGGGAATAATAGCTTAGCTTCTGCTAAGGATGTACCGAAATAGGCACAGGGGAGAAAAGGGAGATTCGCATGATAATTTCCAGAAGAGGTTTATGGGCTAGCATTGGCGAGGTAGTACAAGAGAAGCGGAGGACTTTAGAATATATGTACTGATTTGACCAACAGTTGGCTGGAAAGAGCCGTCTGTAAGGGCGAGGGCCATCATTGTTGCAGTAATATGGCGCGGAGGTAATGGTCGGCATAACCGAAGGCCAAAGTACTAGGTAGCTATACAGCAGAAGCGAGGCAATCCAGGAAGGTCAGAAAGTAGGTATATACCCATATATGTGTTTCGTCACTATAGACCATAGGCATCGTTGAGAAGCTTCACTAGACCTCATCACCTCAATCCCACTCAGCGATGCCTTCCTCGTAGCCTGACCTAACGTGCGACATGTTTTCGAAAATCTCGTTGAAGACATTTTCTCCCCTCCCGCATCAGAGCACAAAAGCTTTTCAGCTCCAGTTGACCGTCTCATAGGTGATCAGCGCCACAGTCGGTGGGAAGCTCACCGATTCTGCAAATGCAAGAGACACGGCAGGATCAGGGCGCTTATATGTCGCTAAATACGTGCAGAGCCTTGTCGTAACACATTTCGTCCTTACTAGTCCACATATCCAGAGGCAGGCTTTGGAACAAGCCGTACCGCGCGATGCTACAAACGGAATGCCGGTGGTCTCGTCTCGGAATGCCACCGCATCGTGGTTGGGCGAGGAGGGGTTGAAGACGAAGGTGGCGACGGCGACGATAATGGTGGTGGTGTTGAAAGCAGGATTGGACACAAGAGCAAAGAAAGTGCAGAAACAATAGGCCTGGATGTCTCACCCTCGCATGCACCTCTGCCTAAGGTAACACGATGGATGTGCCTTTTCCACATTAAAATAGCATCACTTGTAAAGGCCATGCGGGGATATATTAATAGTTGAGATGTTTTGACCAATCTTCCTTTTCCATATTTTCAGAACTATTCTACCTGAGTGCGTCCTAACTTAACATACATAACAACTAAGGAGCGTGGTTGGTATCTTATGCGCCCGTCACCGTTCAATTCGTCAACCAAAAAAAGCAAAATATTGACCATTCAATCCGTTTGTTCCTGCACCTCATGAAACGTGGCTTCGCTTGTTGAAGCGGGGAAAAAAGAAGAAAAGATCATGAAGGGTAGGTAGGTAGGTAAAATATCAGAAGGCTTGCTTGCGCGAATCGAAATCTGCTAACTCCGTCGTTGCTGCCACCGTCTTTCGTTTCTTAATATCAAACGTCGTCATCATCGTTATAACCAACCACCATTACCGTCACCAATCAACCGAACCATTACCATCGTTCATCGTCAATGCTCACTCAGCATCGACAGGCTCCGTGGCAGCAACAACCACTACGGGATGTGATCTGTCCTGTAGGTATAATGGTATATAGGCAGTAGGCAGTGTGGAAACATAAAAAAAGTGAAAAAGAAAAGAAAAAAGAAGGTCAAGCCACCCATAAAGCGACTGATTGGTTGTAGACCCTACTAGGGTCTGGCTTAGGTTTAAATCATGTTCCCGTTGACGCTGACCTCGAAGCCCTCGCCCTTCTGTCTCAGCGCCTTGGCCAGCATGAGCTCGCGCATCCAGTCGATGCGCTCGTCGCGGCTACGTACGGCGAAGTGGTGCGTCTTGCCGGTGCCGTTGGCGGCGCCCTCGATGCCGGGGCTCGGGACTAGCGGGGCGGAGCTGACGCTTTGGCTCTCGCGCTTGCGCAGGCGCCGGCCGTCGAGGCCGCCCTTAGTCACGTTGTCCTGAGGGATCAGCTGGAAGCTGAAGGCCGCGACGGAGTCCGAGTCCGCCGCGCTCTTGTCCTTGGACCGGCTGATGCTCATGGCCTTGAAGGCGGCGTTGAGCTTGGAGCCCGTGGAGAGCGAGGAGCACGCGATGGCGTAGTCGTCGATGTCGATGTACTCGAGAGCCTTGGAGCGCGTCTCGGCGTCCTTGTGCAGCGCTAGCCGTGTGCCCTTTAGCGTGGCGAAGTGGTCGTGCCATTCGTGTCGCAGCATCCGTGTCTTGCGCTTCTTGACGGGACCTTGGTAGGTGACGCCCTCGGCATCCTTGATGGTCGGCGGCGAGCCGGGCGTGGGGATGGGTGCAAAGGTCCGCTCGAAGGTGGTGCGCGACGACTGCGGCGACCACGGGTACTGCGCACGGGGAGGCGGTTGCAGAGACCGGGCCGGGGCCTTGGGTGGCGAGGAGGACTTGGGTGAGATGGAAGATGCGTACCTATGGCCTGGGCGGGCAATAGGTGTGGTGAGTCCGTCTTCATTTACAGGAGCCAAGGAAGGGCGACGCGAAGCACGGGATTGCGACCTGGGAACCATGGGAGCCGCGCGATAGTTCATGTCCGGCGGCACGGACTGAGAAGCGTCTCGAGCAACCGGTCCTAGCGGTACGGCGGTTAATGGCACGTCCATCTCCGAGAAAGGTGTTCCGAAGCGGTACGGGGCGTTCTGCAACTCTGGTGATTTAGCGTCGGCTCTGTCCATCCGTATTGGGTATTGTGAGGGTTGCGGTGTTTGGTTTGCAAGAGCACGTAGTTGTTGTGAGTGAGATTGGCGGTGGTGTGACTGTCGTTGCGGTTGCTGCTGCTGACCAGCTGGGATGGTCAGTTTGGGTAACGCACGCAGACCCTCGTGAGGTGTTCGTGTCGCAGCGGGTAGAATCTCAAAGGGAGGCGTTGGTGGAACCTCGCTCGAGCAAGAGGCGTCACCCTCCTGGTGCTGGAAGTCGAGGAATTGCCTGACGTTGTCCAGGGGGTCTCGTGTCTGAAGATTACGAAGCGCGGCTTCCTGCAGATACTGGAATGGGGGCATGCCAGGGCCGAGAACATCCGAGGACGCGATAACCGAAGGTACGGCATCAGACATTGGCCGCAGCGCCTCGGTGGACGAGGGCCGGTTGATGGCCGGTGCGGTCTCTGGGTTCCCTGGATCTCCGGCGACCATGATGATACCGCCTTGGTCGACGTCGACGAACGGGTGATCCTTCTTAAAGGCTTCGATCATCCGTTGCTGCCTCCTGAACTTCGAGCAGTTTTCGCCTTTCGAGCAGTGGTGCGGCTTGGGCATCATTTGCTCGATTCCGACTATTGATACGGACTCCAGGGGCGAAATGATGTCTTCGTGGGATGGCTTCCTTCTGCTCTGAGACCGCTTCAGACTCTTGGAACGCTTGAGACTCTGACTCCGATCGACCGAGCCATCTTCATCCGGCTTCCGTTCTCTC